TGGGGAAACTGAGGCTGAGGGTGACCAAGCAGTTGCCTGAGGTCATCATACTAATAAGTGATGGAGCAAGGGTTTGGACCCAGGGAGTCTGGCTCCAAAGTTGCGGCTCTCACCCTTTGGGATAAGGCCATTACAGAGGTGGGCTGGGTGGGCTAGGGGAGTTCCCCCGGGGAAGCCAAGGCAAAGCCCCGCTCACAAGGGCTGGAGTCCCTGCAGCACTGAGATGTGGACTGGAATGAAAGCCATGCGGAGGCTCTGGGCCAAGAGCGCAGGAGCAAATACTCAGGGCGCTCCAGGACCTCCTGAGGGTCTCCTGAGGGTCTCCTGAGCTCTGCGGGGAGTTCTCTGGAAGGGCTCATCTCAGCACAGACCTGGGCTAGGCCCTGTGTTATTCAGTGCACACCTATTACGCCTCTACTTTGTGTCCAGTGAACACTTGCTACCGGGCGGCATGCGGCGGGGTCAGGGGACACAGCTCCTGTTCTCAACATCAAGGCCAAATGTGAATAGAGCACATAGAACATGCCGGACCTTGAAATAAACATTTAACCTGAGTTATCTCATTCGTTCTTCACGTTCTTCATGTGAGGCAAAGACTAATAGCCACGTTTCACAGGAAAGAAACTGAGGCACGGAGAGCTTAAGCACCTGGCCCGTAGTCACGGAGTTAAGTGGCAGGGCTGGCATTTAAGCCGAGGCAGGCAGCACAGCCTCCTGGGTCTAGATTAAGACAACAGCTAAACTCGGCTCTGCCAATTTCGAGCTGCGAGACTGGGACAAATAGTTAACCTCTGTGATCTGTGAATGGGGATAAAGATCCAATCTAGTTTACAGAGTTGTTGGGAGGATTAAAAATTAATAAGAGAGTCCTGACCCACCGTAAAAGCTACAGGGTGTTACTATTATCCATCTCCCCAAAACTTATCGATTATTATACCCACTATACAGATGAGGCTCTTTGGCAAAAGCGGGGCAGTTGCTGGCCTGAGGACAGAGATGGGATTCAACCCCGCCACTCCTTGGATCTGGCACCAGGATTCAAAGCACATGATCTTAACCTTATGCCTTATTTCTGGGCGGGTTGGGGGGTTGTGGGGAGTAACCCACCTAGCCCCCTCCCCAACAGCAGGGACCCCCTCTGCCCTCCCCAGGACAGCCAGGCCGAGATAAACTGAGAATTTAAAGAATTCCTCAAATCCTCTTCCCACTGTGCGTGTGCTCTGGGGTGGTGATGCGGGCGAGCCAGCCTGGGAAGACTGGACACTCTTCCCAAAGCCCTAACTCTAAACAGGACCCGCTCAACCCACACTCGTCAACAGTCCTGGCCCTCAGCTGAGCGGCCCAGCAGGCCCCCGTCCACAGCCTCCACAAACACATAAACACACAAATCGCGTGGCAGAGCTGGCGAAGCCACAGAAGGACAGGCAGACACCAAGGCGAGAGGAGGAGAGAGGGCCCAGCTCGAGACCCCGCCAAGATGGAGGGAGGAGTTGTGGCCCCGGCAATGGCCACCTGCCGATCCAGCGGCTCCTCGAGGTCCAGGGACTGGGGGTGAGTGAAGGAAGGGGACTGCCAGGGAGATGGGCTGCTATGGGCAGCAACCTAGGATTCTGGGAGAGGAGGAGGGAGGGGTGACAGTGGGTGGCCGCAGGGTCTGGGGCCATCATTCCCTGTGCGTGGGCAGCGGGTTGGAACCACAGATATCTGGGACACACCAGGGGACAGATGAGTCTCCACACAGTTCTGGGACTAGACTTCATTCTTGGCGGTGGGAGGATGTCACACACTCGTCTTTGTCAGCCCTGCTCTCCTGCCGGTCGGTCGAGGAGTCACCCCACATGTGTGAAACTGCTAGGACAGTCATGAGCATTCCCCGCAGAGGGGCAGCTGCGGGGAGGGGAGCAGAGGGGAGAGGGGGCCGGCAAACCAGCTGACAGGGTGTGGAGCCAAGAGCCCTACATTCTACAGAGCTCGGGACCCAGCCATTTGGGGCCAACGCCTTGCTGCCCACGTGGTTCTTGTTAGGCTCATTAGCAGAGAAACAGCAACAAGCAAACAGCACAGGGCCCAGCTAATTAGCACACAGACCTTCAGTGGGCAAACCAATTTCAAGTGGGAAAGGCCGACGCCCACTGGCAATTTCTCCAGGAGAACTGCCAGCCTGCGTGCATGGGTCAGAGGATGACAGGGGAGCAGCGGGGTGAGAGGGCCTGGGAGGGAAGTAACGGCCTGAGGACCCCCCAGGAGGGAGTGGATACTGGGGGCCCGCTGGAGCCACCCCCTGCGAGAGCGTGAGGGTGTACACACACGTTGGTTATGACAATCTGCAGATTCACCCAACTTTGAGTTTCCAATGTCGAAACTCCAGTTTGGAAGAGACTAATGTTGGAAAATCACGTGCAAGTTAGGAAGCTGAGAACCTCTGGGGCTGGAAGGCCAGAGCAAGGCCCATGCCCAGACCTCTTGGGTTGCTGCTAAGAAGCATCCCGCTGCTCCCTGCTCCAGCTTCAGTTCGAACCTCAGCAACACTCTCTGCTGAGCTGGCTAGAACTTTCCAACCCTCCTCCCCATCTCCAACCCCAAAGCCTTCCAAGGCCTCCAGAGTCTCCTGAGGCCCTGCTATTCCAAGGGTGGTCCCTGAACCAGCAGCAGCAGCGTCCCCTGGGAACTTGTTAGACGCATAGACTCTCCAGCCCTGCCCCAGACGTGGTCAATCAGAATCTGCACTTTAATAAGATCCCAGAGGACTCAGGGGCACAGTCCAATATAAGTAGGGCCTCCCTGAGGCAGGTCTTCCTATGATGGACCCCAAACTCTGGTCAGTGTCTTCATCTCAGGCTAGAATCACATGGGGTGCTTTAAAAATAATACGAGAGCCTCGGCTGAGCATAAAACTGACTCCCCGCATCCCTGCTTCTCTACCCAGGGGAGTCACTGATTTTGAGTCCCAGATCCCCCTCTAATAAGGTGTGGTCTTGACCCAGTCACCACTTCTCTAAGGTTCACTGTCTTCATTTTAAAATTATGAGGTGTGCCCCCCCCACCCCCCACACTCTTCCTCCAGCCGCAGAGGGTCTGCCCTCTGAGGGCCCACACTAATCCAGGGTCCGTGCAAAGGAAAGAATTTCCAGGCAGACGATCTGCTTTGCTGTTTGTTTTTGAATTTGGCATTTCGATGTCTTTATCTGGAGATCCTTAGAAAGGCCCAAGATTCTGCCTGAGCATCATTGTCTGACTGGAAGAGGCCAAGGCTGAGACAGGAGCAAGAGCTTGGCGAGCCAGCATCCCCATCCCCACAGGAGTGGGAGCAGCCCCGTCTCGTCCCCATCTCACGCCCATCTTGGGAGGCATCAGAACCAGAGACAAGGGCCTCCATTAGAGCTGTAAACACCGTAAGTTTTGTCAGGCACCTGGAAACCCTCCCACAGCCCAGGGCCTATGGGCTTGTCCTTGGGCAGGAAGGGGCGCTGGTGAGCGTGAGGCTTCGCAGCCGGGCTCAGGGCCTGGCTGAGGGCAGTGGCAGCTCCAGGAAGGACAGTTTGTGTGAGCTCCTAGGGCTGCCATACGGATCCAGGGAGCTGACAAGAGCCCAAGAGAGGCCCAGCGTGTGAGAGAGAGAGATCCAAGGGGCTTCCTTGAAACCCCCGGATCTACCATTACCTGTGGGGTTTCCAAACTCCAGAGGGCCCCAGCCTGGTGGTGTTGGGAGGGGACAAAGCCCCGTAGACGAAAGTACAGGGTTCTGGTGCCCCACTGCCTGAATCCAGCCCCTGTGCCAGCTTTCAGAGTAGAATATTCTTGACCATGTTTCCCAACTAACCTAAGCCTCTGTTTCCTCATCTGTAAGTGGGATCAATAAACACTCCTGTTATAGCATTACTGAGAGGCTTAAGTAAGATAATGTATGTAAAGAGCTTAGCATAGTGTGGGGAACATAGTGAACCCTCATCTATTAGCAAGTAGTGTAGTAGTAGTAGCAACAGCAGTAGTGATAGCAGCAGTAGTATTAATGGTGGTAGTAGTAGCAATGGTAGGAGCAGTAGTAATGGTAGTAGCAGCAGCAATAATGGTGGTAGTAGTAGTAATGATGGCAATAGTAGTAGTAGTAATGGTAATAGCAATAGTGGTGGTAGTAATGATAGTAGTAATACATTGTCACCCCTAGTTCACAGACACAGAAAGTGAGGCCCAGAAAGCAAGGTATGATATGTGGCAGGAGGTGATTAAGAAGAGGAACCTTGGCATCAGGTTACCTGAGTTCAAATCCTGCCATGGAGAAGGGACCTGTGTGTGCCTCAGTTTCCTCCTCTGCCAAATGGATAGTGGTACAACTTGCCCCAGGGGAACGTATGTGTGCCTTGCACAAAGCGAGTGCTGCACGGTTATTAGCTCTTGCCCTGGTTGCTGCCCCTGACACCATCAGTGGAAGCTTGGGCACAGAGCCTCTGGCTCCTCCCTGGTTTCCATGTAACCAGCATGACTAGTCTCCCTTTTCTCTCATCGGGGCCAGGCTGCCGGCATCAGAGCCGTCCAGAGGAAGGCTGCTCCAGACACGGGATCAGGGCCTCATCTGACCGTCCTGGCAGGATGCCTGACAGAGGCCCGGACCAGAGGGTGGATTCCCATTGCGTGCGCTGTGAACGGCGCCCCAGAAATCTGCAGTGCAGAGGCTCTGGGGCCAGCCACGTACTACAGACCCCAGGGGTGTGCGGGCACCTAAGGGACCCTGCAGGCTCAGCAAGTGAGGTGCCAACGCAGTGGGGCAGCAGGAAGGGAAAGCAGGTAGTTTTAAAAATGTAAGTGGGGCTTCTATTGGAGAAGTTGTTTCCAGTTGGAGGCATTCTATAATCTCCTCCCTCCCGGGGCACATTGCCTCTGCTCCAGAGAGGAGCCACATCCTCAGGAGGCAGGACACTTCTGCTCCAGGCTCTGGAGTCCCCAGGCCCAGCCCACCCCAAAGGAGAGAGAAGGAGAAGGGCGGATGGGGTGGAGGCACTCACGTTTGATACAGTGGCTGGTGCTGTTTGCTGTTGTCCATCCTGGGCAGCACTTTCCCCCACAGACGTTCCTCCTGTGGAGTCACCGAAACAGGGTCAGGTATGAGGACGCTCGGAGAGGGACCGTTCACAGAGCCCCTCCGATGGCCCTGCCCCTACAGGAGAACATTGCATGGCTGGGCAGACTCTCCGCCGTATCTAGGGAGGCTGCATGGCCTGGGGCAGGCACTTTGGGAACCTGCTGATCTAACATTCAGTCCTGACTCTGCCATTCTCTGCATGACAATGGGAGGCCTCACTCTCTCCAGCTGTACAATACGGAGCCCACTGGGACAAAAATGACAAGGGATCGTGATGATGATCAAAAAGCAAGTTCAGAGAACTCCAGTCCCTCGCCAAGGCTAAACAACATGTGAGAGCCAGAGCCAGATCCAAACCTGAGTTGGCCCAACCCTAAGTCATGCTCCAACTCTCCGTTGCCTCTCACCAAAAAACAAGCACCACGGTTCTTGCCCAACAAACGCTGACAATCCAAGGGGAGCTGGAAGACACACACAAAACTGTCTGAAGGACATACACGTGCATCACCTGCCAACAAATACACACTGGGAGGAGCCTTAGCTTCAGGTCGGCTAGCGCACACTAAGACTGAGCAACAGGCTGTAGCATTTCTATTTAAGAGGGGCTTATGGGGTAGCTAGCTGATAGGAAGATGGGGCTGGGGACGGGTTAAGCTGCCTCTGTGCACAGAGCTCCCTGTGTGAACTTGGGCAGGCTGATGGAACTTACATCATGGGACACAATCCTTCTCCCAGCTGCTCTTTGGTGCTGGCTCTGAAGGCGCCCACCAGGAACACTGACCTGCACTAACTGCTGGGGCACTCACCCCACTCACCCCAACTTTGCTTCAGGAGTCTGGTGAGGCCCCCTGCAGCACCAGCAGGTGTCACCAGCCCTGACTCTAGATCTAAAGACCCAAATGCCTGGCCCTGGGTGACTTCCCTAGATGGGCTCTTCCTAGAGCAGACCTCCGGGGGCCTGACTCCTTGGCTCAGGCTGGGTCTGGCTCTGGCTCCGTGGATCCCATCATCAGCGTCAGAAATGATCTACCGAGCACTCACTGGCTCTGGTGGCAGAGGTACAGAGCCAGAGGGCAGGGTAAAGGACAGAGCAGGGGGGGCATCCCTGTGTCCTCTGTGGCCAGCATGGCAAGCATCTGGTCCCACTTAGGAATTTGTTTGACATTTGAGTGGACCCCAAAGCTCGTGTGGTTTTGGAGTCGTACAAAGCATTCAAAATAAATTCCTGCAGCTTGCAAAAGCTGAGACTCATTCCTGGCCCTTTGGCCCAACCTCCCAGGGAGCTCCTCGAATGTCCCCCCAGCCAAGGGCTGTGCCATTGCCGCAACCTTGAAGCCTCTTTGGACCACTGCCTTCAGCAGCTTCCAGGCTCCATGACGGCCTCCTTGCCATCAGGCCCAAGCACCGGGTTCTGGGGAAGGGGCTGGTTCTCATACCCGGGTTCCTGAATGGGTACCCACCCATTTGTAAGTCACTACCCCTTGTGGCATCGACATGGCCTCTTAGAGGCCTGGGAGGTCTTCAAAAGGAAACAGGCTGCACGCTCTGGGCATTTTCTAAGAACCAGGGCCCGCAGAAGCCCAGATAACATGGACAAAGGGGCCTGCCTGGCTGGGTGGTCATGGCATGGAGCCCTGCCCGAGGAGGCCCCCTGAGCCGGCTGTCACCTCAGACGACCTTAGGATGGCTTTGCTGCTGATGGCCCACGGCGGAACCCTCAGGGCCATCAGGGCCACAGTGAGGACTGGCCAGAATCAAAGGTTGTCAGGTGGCGGGGGTGAGGGAGCAGCTTGGGACTGGGAGGGTACTCCAGGGACATCCAGGTTTCAATGAGGGCCTCTGAGGGTCCTTTTTAGGCCAGTGTATGAGTCTTGGGTAGAGGGCCAGGGAGGTGGCCAGCTGGGAGATGACCGTTCAGTGGGCTCTGGCCAGCTACAGAGAGCGAATGAGCCTAGCCAGCTGGGCTATATGCTCAGTGGTTCTGACCCCTTGGAAGGTACCACTGAGAGATCATATGAGCCCAATATTGCAGGCGACGCCACTCAGCAAACATTAGTCCAGCATGCATCATCATTGCCCAACACTTGAGGACACTTCTAGCTAACAGCATGGGACAGTTGCTATTCCACCTGGGACAAATCTGATCATACTAATCCTTTTCTAAAAATCTCCCATAGCTCTCCATTGGCCTCTCCAAAGCTAACCAGGTTCCCACCTGCCTCTGCAGTCTAATTATCCCAGTGGCCACTCCCTGTCTCCATGACCATCCACAACCAAGGCTGTGGTCCTCCAAGGATACCAAGTGTGTCATCTGTCAAGTGTGTCTCTGTGGTCACATTTTGATGCCTTTGCTCAAGCCTCTCTCTCCCTAAAATGCCTTCCCTCTCTTCTTTGGCAATTAAAATCTTTTGCACTCCAAGTCTTCCAACTCAGTTGTTATCGCCCCTGACATCTACCCAGGGTCCCCCATTTCCTGTGATCTGTTAGTGCTGATTGTCTCAGGATGCTGGTTGCATGGGTCTCTGCTTAACTATCTTGAGGTTTCTTTCTGAGGTTATTTTTTTGTTGGTTTTTTGGTTTGTTTGGTGTTTTTTTTCTTGGTGCCTCCAGAGATTAACACAGTGCCTGATACATGCAATACATTTAATACTTCTTTGTTTCACATAATCTAGTGTTTCCCAAAAAGTGGATGAGCAACACTGAGGGCAGGGAAGTGGGTTTTAGGTTTTCACAATCACAGCATTCAAAAATCCTGAGTCACATGGTGAGGAAGTGATTCCCACTTCAGTGATCTTTCTAGCCTGATTAGGTCAATGAAAAAAATCTGTCTGATGTTGAGTCTGCAAGCCAGCTCCTTCTCCCGACACTTGCCAGTCCCCCTTTTCAATAGGGAGAACACATCACAGGGTTGAGCTTCTGAAGATAATGGTGTCTGACTAGAATTTGAGAACATTTTGTCTTTATTTAAATTTTTCTACAGTTATCTTCTCTTCATGACAAGCGGAACTATTTTCAACTCACGATAGTGATACAAAGTTTCCTAGAAAATGAATTTATTTATGTAGATAAATGAGTCAAGCACTGTTTGTAATAGCAAAAAAAAAAAGGTAACTCATCTAAATGTCCAAAAATAGAAGGATGGATAAATAAACTGTGGTATATTCAGGCAGTGGAATAATATAAAACAGTTCAAATGAATAAACTTGGGCTAATTATAGTAACATGATTAAATCTCAAAAATCTAATGAGGAGGGGGGAAAGCAACTCGTAGAAGGATAATGCAGTGTGGCATCACTTATCTATGTTTAAAATATGCAAAACAAATTGTTATTTTATGGATGCATGCATCTATAGTAATAGTATAAAAACATACATTGAAATCATAAGTAAATTTAGGGGGAGATGGAGGAGAGATGAAGGCAGAGATGAAAGCAAATTTATAGAGGAAACTTCAACTAAAAAAAGTCAGAAGCAAAATATGCCAAAATGGACCCATGGACCAAGCCAAAGTGGGGAATGATTGAGGGAGGGAGGTGGGGAAGGGGTGCAGGGGAAAGTGGCGGCTGGAAGGTGGAGATAAATGTATTTGAACAAAAAATTAAAATTAAATAAATAAATAAATAAAACTAAAGGATAGATTGAGTTTTAAAAAAATGCCAAAATATCAAGGTTTGCTAAAGCTGGATTATGAGTTATATTATATCCAATACCTTTTTGTGTGTTTGTACAAAACTTCATTATATGAAATACTTTAAAATAAATAAAACACAAAATCTGGTTATTTTAACAGTACATAAATTTAAACAAAAATAATACAGCAAGAGATAAAAAAGGGAAACATTATGAAGGTGATATGCCTTGAGGCTAGTTCTAGAAACCCTGAATAATGGCTTCAGAAGTCCCCTGTAGACTGTAAATTTCATTACTTCGGGAACTGTGTCTGATCTGGTTTGTTGTGTGCAATATATCCCCACTGCATTGTAAGTTCCATGAGGACAGAGACTGTGTTTGCCACTGCTGTATCCCCATCACCCATCACAGTGCCTGGCATATAGGAGGCCTTCCAAATACATGAATGAATAAACGAATGAATGAATGAATGAGTGAGTGAATGAATGATCTCCATCAGTAGTGATGTCATTCTAAGATTCACCAGCAGGTGGCACTTGGTCCTTGGCCCTAAGGAACCTGCAAGGCAACTGCCAGAGAGGCCAGCCTGGCCAGGAACCATTAGCGAGAACGCACCTGGGTAGAGAAAGCTCATTAACAAGACTGCCACTCTACCCCTCCCCAGCTAGCTTGGAGCAGCTGGCTGGAGTGCCAGAGAACTCGCCCTTTATCAAACCTGCAGAAAATAATCTGGGGTAGGAGCCAAAGCCAGCATGTGATAGGATGTATGCACCTGCATACAGCAGGTGTCTGTGGGTGGCAACCAGCCCATGTTCTTACACACCTGTGCACATCTGTCAGCCTTACTGTGGTGACCATCTCCTTTGCTCATCACTGCCTCATTCCATGACTTCTAATAGTGCACCCTCCCTCCCCTGCGCTCTGCTACCCCACCTTCCTCCTACCCCCACCTAAATGCCTACAGTATAAGCTCCTCCATGATCTGGCCCAACCTATGGTTCCAGCCTCACCCCCATGGCCCCACTGCACACAGGTGCAGTCCTGTCCCCAGGCCAATGGCAACAGCGAGAAGCCCTTGTCCTCGGGCAGTGCTATACGTCTGGGCCCCATTCCCGCCACCTCCCCTCTGCCTCCTCCCATGCTGCCCGTTGGGCACCAGGGGCTCCAGCCCACAGAGCCTCCGTGTCCTCTGAGCTCCTCAGCCACAGTTGTCCCATTCCTTTTTCCTCACCATGAAGCTTATGGTACTAGAAATCACATTCCCTGGACCATATCTGTTTGTTTCTCCAACTCAGTTATAAGTAATTGAGTTGCTCTTCTGGCAAGAGCAATGCCTTTGTCTCTGGGACCCATCCCCTATCCCATGCTCCCCACACTTGCTCTCAGGAAGTATGTCCTCACTTGCACACGTCAGGAGGGGAAAAAGACTGAAACGGCAGGGGCTCCGTTAACAGTTGTTGACTGATTCTGCGTGTAGACGGCTTGGCAGTGCATGGGTCTACCCTCCGCCTGCTCTAAGCTCGGCCTTCCGGCGAGCCGGGAGTTCATTCACTCATTCAACAGGTACTTAACGGGCACCACACAGGTACGCAGCACTCTTCTAGGCACTGGCAACACAATGAACAAAACAAAGCCTCTGTTTTCATAGAACTTACATTACCGTGGGCTGGGAGACCAGACCATAAACACAGAGAGAGAAATACAATATGTCACATGGGAATAAGTGCTATGAAGAAACATAAAGCAGGGTCAAGGGAGGGCGGGTGGGGCAGCAGTCAGAGAAGGCCTCTCTGAAGGAAGCGAAGGAGCCCTGCTGAAGGGTGAGAGAGGCGTGCAGAGCCAGGAGAAGAGGCAGTGCAAAGGCCCTAAGAACATCCTGGAGAACGCAACTGCGGGGACAGGAGCCTTCCTGCTGTGCACCAGAACTAAACCCAGCTGGCAAATCGGGCCCGGGCCGAGAGATCTGCCAGGTTTCTGGCTAGCCTCCCGATGGGGCCCCCACCCGTTCCTGCGCTGCCCAGGGCTCCCCTGTCCTCCACTCCGGAGACACCTGACATACCCAGGCAAGGCAGAGAGCCTGGCAGCCTGGGTGATCCCTGACCGGGGAGCCTCCCGGTGCTGCGAGGGCGCCCCCCGGCGGGCAGTGGGTGGTGCCTGGGAAGAGGGAAAAAGTAAATCACAGGGCTGGGAAGAGTGCAAAGTAGCTGAGGCGCGCTGGCACTTAGCTGCACAAGCGGACACACAGATGCTCTTATCCCACGTAACTACGCCGGGCGCAGGTTTCCTGCCCAAAGTGCCCGTGAGCCAATGCCTATTCCCCCGTCCAACCATCCGTGTACCCAGGCCAACCTGCGCCCAACACAAACATTTGTTTGTCCCCATGCGCAGGTTTTCCTGCCAGGCTCCTGCCCAGAAATGCATCTCCTTTCGCACTCTGGAGCCCCCGACATCTTCCACCTACCCGCGCTCTGCGCCCCCTCAACTTCCACTGGGTCTGAAGAGCCTGGAACGCCCACCCCGCTACCCCCTCCCGCTCCCTCTCGGACCCGACAGCACAGGTCAGGCTGAGGCGGGTGAATGCAGAGGCGCATTAGGAAGGGATTTAACGTCGGGTCTCCGAGAGATGGTACGGAAGAGTGAAGACGGTGTTTCTCTTTCCCTTCAGCTTTCTGAAAGCGGGTCACATCTCCAAGCCCCGGCCCCCTGTTCTTTCCCCGCAGTACCGAGGCCAGAGGATAAAGGGCAGAGCCCAGCGCCCTCTCTTTTCGCCTGCACAGCCCTCGAGGGATGAGCGCACAGCCCCAGTCCTCTTTCCCCAAACCCCACCCCGAGCCCCCTTGCTTTTCTCTCCAGTGCTCACCCCGTGAGCCGCCTTCGCGGCGGAGTTGGGGGCGCAGCCCCCGGTCGCTGCTGGGTCCCAAAGCGCGGGAGAGCCGGGGCGGCCCGTGCCCGGGGTGCGACCTGCTGCTGGCCCAAGGGACTGCTTCTCCAGGTCTGCGCAGGTGGCCTGACTCGCCGCGGCTGCTGCGCGCGGGGCGGCCTCCTGGCCTCCGTCTCGGCGGACCTCCTGGGGCTCCCCCAGCCGGGTTGGGCCAGTTCGGCAGGCAGCGAGCCCGCGACGGGCGCGTCCTGCTCCCGGAACAGACTGTACACCTTGGCTGCAGCCGCTGCGGGATGGCTGCCCCCGGGGTGCCACAGCCGACTCGCGTCCCTGTCAGCCGGCTCGTATCTTCCCACTGGGTACCTCTGAGCATGACCCACGTCCACGAAGAGAGCCAGGGTGAGTAGTAGAAATCTCCTCCACGGGTTCCACCGGGCGCGCCCCAGGCAGGGGGCGGTGGTCGGCGGCCTCATGGCGCTGGGGCCACTGGGGAGCAGTGTGTGCGGGGAACAGTCCGGGGAATGGCAGACGGTGAGCCCCACCGCCCGCGGGTTACGCTTGGGTCCCCTCCTGACGGCCGGCTTCTCCTCGTCTAGGGGGCCCCAAGTCCGACTGCAGGCCGGGCTCTTCCCCGAGCGAGGGCTCGGCGGCGGAGGGGTCCGGGGCTGCGCGCCCTGCGCCTGGCGTCCGCGCTTGGTCTCCAGCTGGGCGCGCGCCGCTGCTGTACCTTCGCGCCTTCTCCGCGTCGCTATAGCCTTCGCAAGGGGAACTGGAGGGTTTTTATTTTTGGAAACCTCTCTCTGTTTTTTCGTCTCTTTTATCCACACCATGCCCCCTCCTCGGAGGGACAGCTCAGCCCCCTCATTACGGGAGAGGGAAAGAGGAATTCCAGCAACACCCACTTTGGCACCGGGAAGCGAGCGGGCGGCGTGGGGGGTTAACCCGTGAGTAGCTGGGGGTGGCGCAGGGCTGACCCGAGGGCTGATACGGCAGATGCCGCCTGCTGGAACAGCGGCACCGAAGCCACCTTTCTCCAGTCCTGGGCAATCTCGAACTGCTGACATGTCCCGAATTTATCTCCCGCCCCTGACCTCAGCGAGAAACTCTGGATTGGATGGCCAAGGCTGCAGCCTTGAAGGTCTGAAGGAGGCGGGGAGAGGTACCAAGAACGGCGTGACAGAAAGAGGATCGACCCTGAGGACAGACTCCCAGTCCCTTCACTTCTAGCCCTGGCCATTGGGGACGTCTGCCCGGGTGCAGGCCAGCTCTGGGACAGCGCGGGGGAACTCTGGAAGGTCGCTTTCTGGCGGGAGCGCTCGAAGGTCGCCTGGAAGGGGGGCGCGCGCCCTCTAGTGGAGTTGGCCCCGTCCTTGGCCCTCCTGAAGCTCGTGGAGCGACCTGCTACTGCCAGCCGCCTTCGCTCTCCGTTCTTGTGCCCTTCTTGTTGTGTCAGGGTCAAGTCTGATGGCGGACCCTGGAAAGAGTGTCCTCTCTTTCACAGAGGGTATATCTGGAATACACAAGAGGATACAACCTCAACTCCTGACCTTGACCCACAAAGGCCTATGTGACTGGCCCCCCTATCTGATCTGTCTCCCCATTAACAAACCAAGTTAATGCCCACGTCCCTGCCCTGAAACGCTCATCTCCAAGATGTTTACAAGACTAACTCCTCATCACTTCTCCTCTGGGCTCAGACATCACCTCCTAGAACGTCCACCTCCGACCCTTCCGCGCCCCCCAATCCCGAGCAGCCCTCCTCCCACTACCAAGTCGTCACTTTCTAACACATCAGCCTATTTTATTTTCATGGCTCTAATGACTAGTGGGAATCATCTTATGTATTCGTTTGCTTGTATAACTGGTTTGAATGGGCTGAACCTGAAGACATCGGGTCTTAAAGATAATCAGGAAACAGCTCTATTTTTCTCCCCTCACTGCCTTCAAACACATTATGGTGAATTTACTTTCCCCGCCCTTAATCTCAGCGTCTTTGGCTTGCCCTTCCCTATCACAAGAATAGTTTCATTTCTATAATTAAGACCAATTTTTAGGCACTAAAAAGTCTGGTCCTGTCCAAATCAAATCCTTATCCAATTTAATCAATGGCAAATCCAATTCAATACTCCTCCCTGCCCCCCATGGGACTGTCCCTTGGCTCAAGATCCTGTAAAGGGGAGAGTGGAGTGTGGTCTGTTTTTCCGGCCCTCCTTTTCTGCGATGGCTTCTTCTGTGTCAGAGTCAGGGGAGCGAGGTATTAGAGGAAAAGTGATCAAGTCTGATGTGACAGGTGCCACAGCCTTGTCTGGCAGGTGCCACATGCTGCTCTCTCATGGGCACACGTGTGGATTCTTGGGAGGCTCCCTGCAAGACCTCCACCCTGCCCTGCTGTGTAGCAAAGCACTCACTGGCCAACCTCTTGCAGACCCTCCGATCCTCTGCCCCTCATGGACTTTCCCATCCATCCCTGCAAACCCAGGGTGAGCCACTGCTATAAAGGCCACTCCAGCCAGGCTCCACCATCAGAATTCTCCAGACGGGAAGTGCCCCCAAGTCTCTTCATTCCTGTACATCCCCAATTCCTAAAGACATATGTTGGATTCTCGTAAGAACTTTCTCGCTGTGCTTTGGTGCCTTGAGGTGCTTGCAGCTTCCAACTCAGCCGGAATCAATGGAGGGAGAGTGACGGGGAATCATGTTGGTTTCCTCTCCTTGAAAGCCCCCAATCTCTGTGATGGGTTCTCTTGGAACCCTCTTTACTTGGTTTGCACTGGGAAGTACCCTTGGGAAATCTCAGCCCTGTCTACTAATGCAACGGCTCTCTACCTCAACACTTTCTTCAGTCCCTTTCCTCTGTAGACTGGTACTGAGGGATGTGGCTTGAGAGCTGTGGAACTTGTTCTGCTGTTAGTAAAATTCATAGTATTTCTCTTTGGAATGTGAGAACCTGTAAGTCTTATTGTTCTACACTTGTGGCTTCAGCAAAAATTCAAGACTACAGGAAAAATCCTGTTCAACAACTGAAAAAAATCATATTGTCTGACTTCCCAAGCCACAATGATAGCTCTAAAGCAATGGATATCTTGTCTTCCTGGTTCACCAACATTTCCCTAGAACCTAGAACAGTGCTTGACTCTGATAGACAGCCAGAAAATATGGGTTCAGTGGATGGCTAGCTGAATGAATGACAGAATAATCCCGTGAAGTAGGGAGGGCTGGTATCATTAGACCCATTTTAAGAGAGAAAAACTGGGTTCCTGGAGGTAGTTCCTGACCCAAGTTCATGTGCCTCCTGCCTCAGAGCATGGCCCTAAGGATCTCCTTGAATTCCCTGCCTTGGGTTTTGGGATGAATGCCATCTTGATTCCCAGAAAGCTCAGCTCTCTCCCGGAAACATTGCTCCTTCCCAGCTCTGGGAAAGACTGAGCCCCGCACTGCGTCTCCTTCCCTGCTACCCACCCAGTTCTTTAGTTCCCCACTCCTCCTCTCCCCACTAACTGCCGGTTCCTTCAGGAGCTCTCCTCTCCATCCCTCAGCGCTCACCTCAGATCCCCACGAGACTCCCAAGGCCAGAAACCTTGGCGTCATCTTCGTCCCTGAGTTATTTTTTCCTCCCGTGTGTCCAAGTCATTATTACTGCTCCGTCTCCTCCGTCTGCACTTCTGGAAGTCTGCCGCCCATTCAGCCTCTCACCGCTTGGCCCCGGCCAAAACCTTCAGGCAGACACTCTTCCCTCCCCACTAGGCACCCCTCCCACTCCTTGGTGAGTACAAATGGTCCTTGGAAATTCCCACCCTGTTCCCCTGGGAGCCCATAACCTGACTAATCTACTCTAAGGTGGGCATCTCCTGCTCATCCCATCCTAGCGCTACCCTTCTGTCCTGTCTCCCGCTGACTCCCCATCCCTCCCTCTCCCTGTAACTGTTGGAATCTGTTGATGCAGCTCTTCAGAATCTCCAATCCCATAAACACTTGAGGGGGTGTTTCTCCTTTTTTTTTTTAAGCTGCCAAAATTTATAGAGTCTACTACAGTTCAAGCACTGCATTAAGCATGCTATGTAAATTGACCCATTGAACCAAATGAAGGTGGCATCATGATTTCTACCCATATAAAGGAGGAAACTGAGGCTGGGCATAGCTACTGGCTTGCACAGGCGATCAGTAGCAGACACAGGATTCAAACTTTGGTCATTTCCCACCTGAGCCCAAGCTTTGAAGGCTGCACCATCTTGCCTTATCCATGGGCTTGTGACTCTGTAGCCCCCCTCACACTGAAGTGGTATCTTTCCCAACCACCTCTGCTGCTGTCACCACACAAGTACCTCGACCGCACCTCCCTCAATGCCCTCTTCCCTTCCCTGGGGACATGGGGTTAGAAGAACTTTCTGTCTCCTTCTACCCTCCCTGCCGAGTAGAAGGAGAACTGCTAGCTGTTTCCGGCATGGCCCCTGACTCACCGTGTGTCACTCTCTTCCCACCTAATGAGGCACAGCGTGCCACTAAGCCTGCTTGCTCAGCTCTTGGGGCTCAGGAGAGAAATCACCGCTGGAAAGCCCTGCAGAGGAAGCCCCAAGGGGCTGGTAAGAAGATGCCAGGAGGGAGCCTTTGCCAGGACATGGACGCCGCGAGTGGGGATGGTAGTCTGCTGGACACCCAGGGCAACCTAATTGTTTTCCCATGTCTTGCTGGAATAATGCTGGCAGCCAGAAAGCTACCAGAACCTGAACTAATTTGGTAAATAAGGACCAAAAGCAAGGACCGCATTTCTGCTCCCTTTGCTGGGACCCAGACTCCCGACAGAATTCCAGGGATTTTTTTCTTCCTTGGAAGTGACTGGACCTCCAGCCCTGAATTCCTCTCCCCAGGAGAGCTTGTTCCCCTGCTCAGAACAAATAACACATTTCCTGGTTAATCAGTGGGCAGAGCAGCTGAAGGAAAGGTTGATTGGGCCCCAGCTTTCCAGATGGAAGAGGCTCAGGGGCTGGGATGTCTTTGTCCAGAAATCGGGCAGCTGGGACCCCTGCACTGTGCAGCCTCCCCCTCCAGTTCGGAAGATACAGGCTGTATGACCTTGTCTCCCTCCTACACGAGGTCTTCAAAACCCACAGAAGCTGCCAAGACCACTCCACCTCAGACACTGTGGCCTGGCATCACCCCCAGAACTCACAGCCACCCTGCCCTGGACCGCCGGTGCTGTCTCCTCGTGTGAGCACGACTGTTTCTGTCTTCTGCAAACTGAGCTCAGCGCTTGGCTTCTATTTTCTCATCTGAAGATAGAGATAATGGTGCACTTCTTGCCATTCCTGCCTTCAGGGCAAAGTGGATAACCAGCCCCACCTACCCAGGAGGGGAGGGGCGTGGAGGGGATCCGTTACTGCCACTCCATTCGCCAGAGGATATTTCTTTCTTTCTTTGCTTGTTTCCTCTTTTTTTCCTCCCTACCTTCTTCCTTTCTTTCTTCCTTTCCTTTCTTTTTCCCTCCCTCCCT